CAAGGACAGCTGAAAGTAATTTTAGTTTTGATAATGGTACTGCTTTAAATCTATAAAGGATACACCGAGTTGTTCTAGCATATTTCTTTCCACAAATGGTTTTTTCAACTCTGAAAACAACGGTCCACACTATATCTCCAGTCTCCTCTGAGAAAAATATGAATTTGCAAAAACGTGCGCATCTTGCACCCTTTCCAGAAAACCTATGTTTTTGCCTCTAAATCATAAAAAATATAACTGTGGTCGCTGAAACATGTGCCCTGCAGGATCAATAAGTAGTCCCCTTACAATTCAAGTAGTATTCATGGAAATGCTCCGGAGCTGTGATAGGAATAGGCATTACATCAATCGCCCGGGCCCCATTACAGATTGACTTTCTTCTACATTTCTTCGTTTTGAAACCAAGACAAGCTACAGACAAATAAATTGATGCTACAGGAATTTGAACAACCCTGTTGAAAATAAGCATTTTAAAGTATTTTCGATCCTTGGCACCATGAATTTCTAGGGGATTCGTGTTTATTTCCCATTTACATATTTGTTTTTGTTTGATTTTTTTAAAATCGATTGCCCATTTCATTCTCCTGGAAAAACATAAAATATTCAAGCAGAAACTTCATAATGACCTCGCAAACTTGATGTACTGTAAATTTCCAAACATCAAAAAGATTTCCAGTCGTCCTTTATTCAGCTGGAGATGCCAATTAGTAGATGGCAATATACATCTTTTTCTTCACACCCAACGGCTCTATAGTCTTTAGGACCAAGGCCAAAGAATTTTCCAATTTTAAACAATGATTTTAATTAATTTCCTTTTTACGTGTGTAAATTTTTCCTAAAAGTTATTAAATTCGCTTTTTTCCATACCAAAAAATGAATGGATCGGATTTCCCCCTACTTTCTTTGAGGAACATTCAAAAGTTAGTTTTATACCCTAATAGTAAGAAAATAACCTTTTTCTTTAAAAATCCACAATTCTGAATCTGCGGATCTCCTTATTTCATATGAAAATATAAGGATTTATTTACAGTACGTAAATCTCGCCTGAACGCATAGCAAATTAATTTTTCCTTACGTGTGTATATTTACTCCTATGTTAATTTGCACACATAAGCAAATTTTCGTCGTATGAATGGGGTATTAGATATGTTCATTGCATGTATGAAGAAGTAAATTTTTGAGTGTTTATGTTTTGAAATACTCATTGCATTTCTCCCATGTTTTCAAAGTCGATGTCCTAATGGGACTTTACAAGGCTGCAGAAAGAATACTAAAGGATAAGATAATGAGGTAACGCTTATCTTTTAAAAGGGTAACTGAGTCGATCTAGGCAAGACAAAAAAGGACTACTTTTTAAAAAAGATGGGATATAAAGACAGCTGCAGTTTGCAGAAACCATGAAAACCATTTGGGAACTGTTATGAATAATCAGTATAGGCGTCGGAACCGTGGGGCTAGGGAGGACTTAATTAGTAGCCTCCCCCCACTTTTTTCAAAGATAGACTTAATGTAAGCACTGAAAATTGGGGCTAACCTTTTTTCGTTGGTTAATTAGCCCCCCCCCCCAACTTTCAATTAGCCCCCCACTTTCAATTTGCTTCCGACGCCTATGATCAGTCAAGGTTATTTCAAAATCCTATCAATTATTATATGTGGATTATGTTCTTAGTTAAAAAATATAAAATCAAAATAAGTAAAACAATCTATTTTTAAAAATATACTTTGTTGCTGCATTACACAAGTTTGCATTGTAACAATGTGATGTTAATTTTAGCGAAAAACCGCGTGAATGTAACAAGTTCACGATGCTTTACAGTTACATGTACTATATAAGTAGTCAAATGTTTGAAGATTCATCTTCAGTTATATTTTCAAATAAGGCCATATAACTCTACAAAAAATGTGTTCAATATGTTTGTTACTTCGTTTATTATCCGGTAACCGAAGACTTGGGACTGTATATGTTTTGCCTTCCGTCTGTCTGTCTAGCTTTCCCTCTGTTTGGTGATCGGTTTGTCCGTTTGCCCGCAAGAATACTTTAACTTTGCCCATTATGTTTGGTTAAAGCTATGGATTTAATATTTCACATGTGTATTCCCTGTGATAAGAACTTTCTTTGGTATCAATATATTTGGCCTCTTGGCCTTGAACTTGGAATTTGGCCCACTTTTGCAAACAAAAAAAAACGTGTTTGTGAAACACGGACGCCCCCGTATGACAACTTATGGTGAAGGTTAAGGCTATGGTTACATTTTTTTTTACAAAGTTTGTCAAACTCTAAGGTAAAAAATATTTAGATTTGAAATGTTTCGTCACGATGAATACACATGTGAAGAATGAGAACCCCCTAGAACCAATTGTATAAAAGATATGGCCAAGTTTAAAGTTTTTTTTTTCGTAAAAGTGGGTCAAACTCCCAAGGTCAAAAACTCAGAAAGGTGGTACCATAAGAAATGTTTTGTCACAAGGAATACACATGTGAGTATGAAAGCCATAGCACCACCCAGTCAAAAGTTAGAAGCAAAATTAAAGTTTTTGAGGACAAACAGATAGACAGATGGACGGCAAGGGCAAAAACTATATACCACAGAATTTTCGATATAGGGGCATAACAATTCAAATGTTATTCCAGGTCATTATTTTTGTATGATTTGTATCAGGACTTTCATACTTCACATGTGCTCTCATTGTGACTCTACCTTTATTTGAGAATAAATACTTTTGATTTTCTGATCTTGACATTAGACTTTGGCCCACTTGAAATCTTTCATAATGGCATTAACTTTTCAACAATTAGTACTAGGGATTTCATATCTCAAAGGTATACTTGTGACAAGGCCTTTCTTTGGATCCCAACAATTTTGACTTTTTTGACCTTGACCTGGAGTTTGATGTAATTAAAATAAATAATGGTCATCACTTTTGAATAGTAATGTCTTGGGATTTGCTTTTATATTTCACATGTATATTTCTTGTGACAGGTTTCTCCCCTGTTTATGATTTAATAAAGACCCTTTTACCTTGTAGTTCAACTTACTTTTTAAAAGCTTTGGCTATGCACAAGAATATTCACTGATACAAGTTTTTTCTTTAACAAACAACATTTTTGATCCCTAAGTATTTCCATTTCTATTTATTAACAGAAACTTATTACAAAGAAAGCAAATGGAAATATCAACCAATAAATTATGTATGCATGACTTTTCATTGTATTTTACATTTATGCCAATGTTAAATGCATTAACTTTGTATTATACATCTTTTTTGTTGAATGTAAACTGGAAAAATTGGGCTTAAGAATAAATAAAACTGTAACTTAATCATAGAAACAGAAAGACAGACGGACAGAGTAAAAAGTATAAATATACTGAAGTATACCTCAAAGTCTTTGATTACGGGGACATATATCTGTATCTGTGACAAAGTGTGTTAATAAGAAAATACATTTTTAGAAGGACATAGATGGTTTATTGACTTTGAGAAAACCTCGGACATTACAACAATGTTATTTTAAATTCACAAGGTAGGTACATTCATATAAACATACAGTATAAGGCATATGTATCATATGTTGATTAGTTCTATGTAAAGGATAAACCTAATTCAAGAAAAAACATTCCACCCAGATGTGGTTTGACAGTTACTTGTGGTCATTTTGTTATTTATAATGTTCAAACCTCTCCAATTTACGTTCTTTCTGGTTGCAATTTTATCATTATAAATTGCTACTGTCTGAGCATTCTTGCTTATCAAGGGCATTTACTTACTAGTATTCTTCAATAAATCTTTGCTGGCTCCTGTACATAAAGAAAATACTATTGATTTTAAATAAAGCTAAACATGGGATATGTTTAAGATTAAAAAAAAAACTTTATAAAATGAAATAAAAGAAAGTTCAATTTATTTCATATTATTTGCATATTTAATTACCTTTTTCTTCCTTTTTCCAGTATCAAGGACATTGTAATTACATTTTAAAGGAAATACACTCTATTTTTTGGGGTAAATAGAGTCTAAACTATAATAAAACCATATTGGTTCTTAGGTTTAATTCCAAAAATATCCCTTTTAGGATTAAATAGTTAATGACTGTTTATCTTTGCTTTTTTTCAGTCAGAAAGTAAGGAATTCAGATTACAAAGATGTTAGCTACGTGCTACTTTTGGCCTTTTCCTTCTACGATCTTTTTAACTTTTTGTACTGAAAACGTTAAGCAGATTATGCAGAAATAATACACTCTATCTCCTAAATGTCTTTTCTTTCATTTTTTTGCCCTCTCAACCAGTTTTGTGTGAACGTACGATGTATTGGCCGACAGCATGTGAGTGCCCTACAAGATAGACTTAACAAAGTCATACTGCTATAGTTAGTTGACCAGCATCACGCGATTTTAGACCAAGTGTAGAAAGTACACTGTTTTACAAATTACTTAATTCAGCCGTGTATTTTGAAATATTTCCGACTGACACACAATTGAACATAAAATGTTTGTACTGACAAAAAGCATATTATTTTTAATTAAAGAAATGAATCAAAGCAGAAAATATTTTTGGTAATGTGTTCCTTTTTTTCAGAGAAAAGAATATAGCTTTTCCCCTTCAAATAGCTGAAAAATAACTGATATATAGATGACTAAGCAGATGGGAACCTTCTTGCTCTCATATTAAACCGTACACTGACCACATAAATCATCAAAGCTAATCACTACCATTGAACTATCAGGACACGCCTCGTCATAAATCCCGACCATAGCGACCTTGCGAGAAGGCCACCAAATGGTCGTTAAAATTGTCACGTCGCCTCATATTGATATAACCAATATTCTCACACCTTTTTTATGACCCTTAGTACATTTATTTACAAATAAACGCCACACACAATCTGGATATCCATGGTTGTGATTTCCTGTACACTCCAGTGATCGAGAACTGCATTTGATCAGGAGGATGCACGATCAATAGAACCTGCGCTTTACCTTTACCTGCTGCTGCTCAGAGGGTATGTGAACCTGCTGGCGGCAAAGGGCTCTAATTTGTTTACGGCAGAGAGAAGATAGAGGAGGTACAACGGTTTCACCACTTAAAAGGACGTTCCTTCACCCAAATATTGCATGCACAATAAAAGACACTTGTGGGAGAATATTGCTATTCTATTACCCGCGTAATCAGTGTAATTCTAATCGGTGACCATGCAGGTTTGTTTTCTGATTTTGCTATCGGTTTTTTACCACACCCACGCCGCTGATCCGGAGGTCAGTGCTGAGGGGGTGTTTGTCAAAATCCAGGGTCAGTCCGGGGGAATGACCATCGGAAAGACAAAGAACCCCGACCAAGACAACAACGCGGTGAAAATCAAATTCGACGCAATTCAGGAGAAGGATTCCAGCGGCAACGTTGTTGGAACCTCAGGAAATGCTAAGCATAGTTTTAACAATTTTGCTCAACTAGATTTTACATTTTCTAGTTTGAGAGACTCGGAGTATGAAAATCTTACAGCAAAAGCTATCAATTTCACGGCCTCTATCAGTTCAGTTAATGCTAAGATGAGGGTGGAGACTTTTCTTTTTACGGAGGCTGGAAACATCACCATTGACGGAGAATCAACGGTGATTGAGAAGGGAAGTGTAAAATTTAACATTCAGCTTGAAGGCTGGACATTTTGCGATAACTCGGGGAACTGCAAAAAGGGTGAAGCTAACGAGATCGGAGAGTATGTTGACTTGACCATATCTATCAAAGGAAAAAGCACCCCGAGCAGAAAGACGGGGAATAACAAAAGGACTGATGGGGAGGAGTATGCGCTGGGAGGGGACGCCTCTGTAGCCCTGTCTAAAAAGGTAAGGCTTGTCGTGTTCAGGGGGGGGCTATCCCCGTAATAGTGCTAGCTGGGAGGGGACGCCTCTTTGGCCCTGTCTTATCGTGATCAGGGCTATCCTTGTTTTAGTGCTAGCTGAATAAACTGGCTTGATTTTCCTTTATTTAAATTCACTTTTCACTTGTATTGAAGGAAATTTATAGCAGCATGTGGCCGGAAATCGCGTGCAGCGATATGACTTTCCCGCAGGTGACTCAGTCTATTCTGTATTGATGCGATCTGTTACATAAATTTTGTTAAACAGCTGTGCATGCAAATTTCACAGCCGTATAAGGAGAAATATACATGTAACATTCACCTTAACTAACCAATTTTCTTTTTTTTTTATTTCCAGATTTCCAAAGACGGCGGAAGTCCTGAGAATATGCCGGGAAACTACCCCGCCTTCGAGACCCAGGGTAGCAAACAACTGTTTGTGTTCCGTTTCCCCAAGTTCACAAACAACGTAATGTATGATCCGATCATTTACTCCGGTGTCGCCGACACCAGTAGTAAGGCAGCTTACATTAGTTCCGGATTTACTCCGCTCTTTGCGGCTTTGTTTGGCGTCTTTCTAACATGCAAATTAGTTCTGTAGATATCTATTTTTCCTTATGCTCTAAACTTAGTAAATGCCATTTATAACAGCATTCATGCGACAGATATTCTATGAAGAAAACAAACTTCAACATTCGTACATTAATTACTGTCCACTTAATTAGTCAGGGATAAGTGCAGTATACATATATGGATGAAAAATTAATTAGCTTTTGACTGTAATCTAAAAAAAAATATTCTATACATTAGAAATTAATACTTGTTTAATTTTACTTGTTTTGATAGTTAATTGAGCATGTGTTTGTAGATTTTCTGTAGTTATTTATGTTTTAGAAATCAATGTGCATCATTTCATTAAAGAAAACACCCATCTCATTTTAAAGCATGAATCAGAAAGTAAATATGTACAACTGCGTTGTTGAATTTGCTTCAGTTTTATTGGTGTATGTGATTGTAAATATTAAACATACTCATCAATAATGTAACAAAAATTTTCTACGTTGTTTTTTTTTTTACCCTTAAAATGGTCTTACACAAAGCCACCTGAGGAACATTTAGACAAAGCCTAAGATCGAATTTATAATCTACATGAGATCTATTATGATGTGAACTCAGCCATTATAGGGTCTCGATAAATACTGTGCATTGTCGGCTTATTAAGATCATTATCACATACACTAGGGCTATTCCTCGATACTGTCTCAAAGCGTGTCCTTAGCATTTCCCGATTACATTTTCTCGCTTAATTTATACATAAAAAGCAAGTTTTAAATCGATATATATATAATATAAATTGCTTTGTTATCTCTTTTTTGACTGAATATATTGATATTCAATTCTAATGAACAGATTTTAGCCAAAAAATTATAGAAGAGCTAGTCAAAGAGTATACTTCGTCCCCTTGTAGTTGTAAAAAGCGAGATAGGGGGGCGCCACTGTGCCCACAGTTGGTGTATTTCAGCACTCCCGCTTCTTTACATGGAAATACAAGAGGTACTGTGAGCACTGAGCTCTCTAACTGATACCGGCCTCTCATATGTTTATGATGGAAAAGTTCATATTTTGCTCTAGGAGACCCAAAATAAGTGTCAGATCAAAAAGTAAAATAGTACATGCACAATGGCATTGTGTTATAAAGACTCTGTGAAAGTACCATTAATTTTTTCCCGTGATTTTGAGGAGTTGTGGATAAGAGATGGGTACCCTTCAGTATTATAGAAAGAATGGCAGTGTCCATTTTTTGCTATTGGAAAGCAGAAATATGTGTCCTATTAAAAATTAAAATAGGAGGTGCATAGTTCTAGTATGTTGCAAAGATTCTGTAAAGTCTCATTGAATTTCGTGGAGTGATATTATAGGAGTTTTGGATAAGAGATGGGTATCCCAAAACGTAACGGAGGGACAGACAACCCGATCACTTTATACCCTCCAGCTTTTCAAGCAAGGGTATAATTATTATGTGAACATGTCGACATGCAAGTTAAATAAGTCATGCGACTTATGCGAAACATTTTTGTGGACCTGCGACTTATCTTTATGTTGAATCTTGGATGTGTACAATGTCAGATGCAATATAAATGTACTATGGAACCGTAAAGGTCTCTTCTTTTGATATTTAAATAACTTTACACTGTCTTATTTTTCAATGACTTGTCAAAGTTATGACACTTACAAATAGATTACTTCTTAAATTTATAATATACATTTCTTTTGAATTTTATCTAGATGCTTTTGCATAATTTCAAAGAGCCTTCCTTTATTGACTGATTGATGTTATATCTATATATTTTATCAACTTAAAAAATATATTGATTTGAAAATACATTTATCGCTTAAAGCATGAGATTTAAAGATGTCGACATGCACCAGTGAAAATATATGCAAAGTAGTTGTATAGATATAAATATCCTGTTATTTCTGGGGGCTGGGGGAAATGTGAAAATATAGTTCTCGTACTATCTTTGCGGGGGCTAGAATTCTGATGAAACGTCACATCAGCTGCGATTAACCATGTGTGAAGTGTCGAGTCCAGTGTTTGCTAAAATGTACATTGAATATTTCATGTCTTTGTTTCAGTGCGGTAAATATAGGATGGACCACTTAGACCTGAACCACTATACCCACTCTTTACCTTCTTATACATGTATCTTGGAATGAAAGCGATGAACGTATTTGCTTCGTTGCAGATACATGTAATTTATATTAGCTAAATCACAAGGGGGTGTCAACCAAGTTTATCACTTGGCAACCAAAAAAAGGAAATTTTGATGGTCTAACTAGACGTACTGTTAGCTCTGAGCTCACTAAATTTTACTCCCGCCCCCTTTATCATTGATAATGGCAAAGTCCATGTTTTGCTCTGGGAGACCGCAAATAATTGTCAGCTAGATCAAAAAGTAGAGGAACACAATGCTTTATGTAGTGAAGAAGAATCTGTGAAAGTACCATTAAATTTCATTTAGTGGTAAAGGAGGACTTGCTGATCAGAGATGGGAACAACATATTATAGAAAGAAGTGCAGTGTACATGTTGTGCTATGGGAAATCCAAAATATGTATCGGATCAAAAAGTTTTAATAATAGGACGTGCACAATGGTACTATGTAACAAAGATTCTGTGAAAGTCTCATCAAATTTCATTAATTGGTAAATGAGGAGTTTCGGATAAGAGATCTGGGTACCCCAAAGTGTAACAGACGGACGGACATCCCGATCACTATTTCTCTCCAACTTCTCAAATGGAAATATAATTATCTGAATTGACGGTCAGAGAGAGTTTTTCGGGGAAAAAAGATTTTACTTGTTAGCTTACACCCTATGGTTCTTAGGGTATTACAATTGAATTCACATTTTCCTTTAGCTATAAACATTTAATGAGATCGTCTGTCAGTCTGTCTATGTGTCTGTGAACATGAAGATAACGAACACAAGGCAGTATTTCAGATCAAAAGTCTATAAAACAATACATATTGGGAGCAAAGAGGAGCTCTAAACGGAAAAATCTGTACAAAATTTGCCGCAAAAATACTCTCAGTAATGGTCTAGCAAACTTCAGTCAATAATTTTCAAAATACTGCTCTTTGGACTTTGTCAGCAAATACAATCTATCATTAAGACAAATGATGACTAACGTTTTTTATAAGCACTGCGACATTTAAGTCCCGACACGACAAAGTCCGGACTATTAGGTACCCTTTCGAAAAGAGACATAATTTAAAAATTTTCCTGAAGTTTGGTGGGATTTTTTCTTCTCATCACATCATGTCAAACTCAAATTCCACAATGTTGTAGTTTTCTTATAAACTTCTCCCAAAACTTAAAATCCCATGGGAGAATGGGGGATTTTTTATCCCACCTGAAATTCCACCAAAATCCCACGGGAGAAATAATACTATAAGATAATTTGTCCCATGTGGGAAAAAAATCCCATGGTTGTTGCAAAAATGGAATTATTTCTCCCACAGGACAAAAACTCCCACAAAATGCAGAATATAGGATTAAATATCCCACGTCTTGAAGCTAGGATTAAATATCCCACATCTCGGCACAATATAGGAAAAAATCCTGTAGTAATCCATGGTATTTTTAGTTTTTGGAGAAGTTTATAAGAAAACTACAACATTGTGGAAGTTGAGTTTGACATGATGAGATAACAATTAAAAATGCCACCAAACTTCAGGAAAACTTTTTAATTATGTCTTTTCGAAAGGGTTCCTTAAAGTCCGGACTTTGTCGTGTCCGGACTTAAATGTCGCAGTGTTTATACTGACTGTTAGGGCATTATCATAACACCGCTTGAAAATTGGGTGTGTATATAATGATCGGGATGTCTCTCCGTCCGTCTGTTATGCCTTTGGGTACATTAGTACATTTATTCAAAAAGAAATACTTCAACTTCAATTTAAAACAGATATTTATTGGAATCTGTTCAAAAATCATTTACTAATTAAAGTAGAGAAATTGTATTTAGGGTTTTCAATCCCTAATAGGAACAAATTCAATGAAATTGAATACATATCAATTCAACAGTTATGTAGGCATTGAATACTCAGTTTATTTAGACATGCTTCCCATATATTACTATTAGTACGTATAGTGGGATGTGTCCTAATTTATGACCTTGAATTTTGTTATCTCCCCTTTTTTACTTAATGAAAAAAAATCATTTTAAAAAATTTATCTGGTAAAAAATTGTTTTCATTGTCAATCTATTTTTAATGTTTCAATGCATCTTTCCACCACAGGATTTCTTGATATTCAAATTATTTGAATTTTTATTTTGAAAAAAAAAAATAGACTTCAATGCAATCTTTGTTAATTAACTACTGCTTAATTAATGAAATTTTGAAAACTTTCTCGCGGGCAATCCTTTTCCACTATAAAATGCTTTAATATAATATCAGAGTATTATGTACTTGACGGACATTTAAGGGTAGGGAATTTGGTCCCATTATGGATGGAAATCCTTAATTCTGATTATTTTCTTAAAACAATTTTTTATTGGGTTGATAAGCTGTGAAAATAAATTTTTAAATCCATAGTATGATTAGTGTTATTATTATTCTATGGGTTAAAATTAATTTCTGAAACAAGTGCCTATGAACTGAACATACTACAAAGTACATATACAGTTGTGAAAGGAATGATAACTCTCAGATTTTTGTAGAATTTAGCTCGGTTTATAGATTTTTATGAATTCCATATCTCATTGAATGATAATCAGTAAAAAAAAAATAAATAAAAAATTTTCAACTTGAAATGGGGCAACCACAGGTTAAAACTCCAGTTTATAATTTTCATTGATCAGTAAATTAGTTCATAAATTGGAAATTGCACAATATTATTCCTTCCTTTAATTCTTAAGAAAACCGATGGTAATTAATCAATCGATTAATTAATATTAGATTAGTTGGATCCAGACTTTAAAGCCACCTGTACGAAATTGGGGTCCTTCATCGATACATGTACAAATACGTATCAACGATTATGCAATATTTATTGTTTTACATACTAACACCAACTTCATACAAATGATTTATACAGATACAGAAAATAATTTTTCTAAAGTTGCAATTTATTGGGACTTGCAATGAAAAATAGAGAAAAAGATCAGTAATTTAGCTCAAAAGTCCATTCAAACAAAACAAATTAGGAGAAGAGCTAAAACGGACCTCTATAACATAAGAGGGATATAGATAAGATGCCATAGAGGATTGAGCATCCCTGCCGACATGTCACACCCTACCTGTGCTGCCTGTCATGATCGGGAAATAACGGAAAATTCCGTGTGTAGATATAAGTAGAACAACTGGAGGTACTGTGCGCAATGAGCCCACTAACTGATGCCCCTGCCTCCCATATGGTTATAATGTCAAAGTTCATGTTTTTGCTTTGGGAGACCTAAAATAAATGTTACATCAAAATGTAAAGTAGGAGTTGCACAAAAACATTGTGTAAAATAATCTGAACAAGTATTATTAAATTTTATTCTGTGGTATAAGAGAAGTTGCGGACAAGAGATGGGTACCCCAAAGCAGAACAATCGGACGGACAGACAGACGTTCAGATGGATGAACATCTAGATCAAAATATACCCTCCCACTTTTCAAGCGAGGGGGGTAATTATCAGTATGAAAAATTGTCAGCAATTGACTTAACAATAAATTGTATTTGCTGACAATATCACGGTATCGACCATAGAACTTGCGAAATGATGGCTATAAACGAGAGCGTTTATATTCTTATCGTATCCCCCGCTGGAAACGTTGTAAGGTATGTAGTGATCGGGATGCCTGTCAGTTCGTCGTCTGTCTGTCCGACCGTCCGTCTGTTAGACCTTCTGGTACCCGTCTCTTGTCACCAACTCCTCTTTTACCACTGAATGAAATTTAATTAGACTTTCACATAATCTTTGTTACGTTTTGCCATTGTGGCCCTTTATTTTGCTTTTTGATAGGACATCTTTTGGGTTTCCCAGAGGAAAATATGGACACGCCTATTTTTTCTATCTTATTGGAGGTCACCCCTGTGTTAGTTTTTGATCTGATTCTTCTCGTATTTCGGCTTTCACAGAGCAAAACATTTTGAGAATTGTAATAGTTCTAGTGGTAAATTTGATCTCGGGACATTTTATCTGAGATATATATATATATATATATATATATATATATAAAGCACAGAGAAATTCACTTTTACATGGATACCCACTTCCGCCCCAGCCCGAGGTTGAACTCTCGACCTTCGGAATCTGTCTCCTGGCAGTGCAGGAACAGCGTGCTAGACCGCTCGGCTATCTAGGCAAGTCAAAAAACTTGCTTTCGATGCCGATGGAATTCTCGCGGCGCTGCCCTACACTATACGGTCATTGAGAATAGGAGTGAGATACAGTTATTTGGACATTAGTTTAAACAGAGGATTGTTATCAATACATGTTGTAATGAAATTAATTATTATTTATAAAGCACAATTTACAACAACTCTTGAACTAACATAACTGCCCTAAGTGAAGAAATATTTATATAGAAAGCACTGAGAAATTCACTTTTACATGGACAAATTCGGGGTTGAATGACAGTTATTTGGACATTAGTTTTTAACAGAGGATTGTTACCAATACATGTTGTAATGAAATTAATTCCGCGAGAATTCTATCGGCATCGAAAGCAAGCTTTTTGACTTGCCTAGATAGCCGAGCGGTCTAGCGCGCTGTTCCTGCACTGCTAGGAGACAGATTCCGAAGGTCGAGAGTTCAACCCCGGGCTGGGGCGGAAGTGGGTCTCCCTGTAAGTGTGAATTTCTTTGTGCTTTCTATATATATATATATATATATATATATATATATATATATATATATATATATATATATACAATTTCAAACCATCTCATAGTTGCCATATATAAGCTTTATAATGAACCCGAAACATTTCATACTTTCTTTTCATAATTAAAACTGAATGACGAATATGGATTTAGTGTTCCATACTGTTTTATTTTTTTTATCATCGTTAAAAGTGCCAATTTATTTTGATATATGCCTGTAAGTTTATCCTTCTTAAATTAGTTCAGGAAATAAAACACTAACCATTGTCTGTTTTAATTTTTATTTAATAAAAGCACAATTTGACTGAGAAGAAATTCAAACATGCATAATGGTTGCAAAACAATTTATTAACGCTATGTTTTTCCTTAAGAAATTGAAAATTAATACACATGTTGTTTGCTTGGGAAACATTATTAATTAAAGTGACTATAACGCAGGATTGTGTTATTGCATTCAGCTAATTTTAACATTTAGAATACTTCAACGGGAAATAGCGGGGGTATTCAATGCCTGATGAGTACTAAGAAACACACCGCAAGGGCCACCACTGAAGTGACCCATGAGAAGTGACTTCCGGCGTTGGTGTTAGAATCGTCCGACATTTGAGGCGGATCATCAGTGGTGACCAGTGGATCATACCATATGTATCTTCTGAATCTACGAAACCGGAAACGGAAAAGCTGGATGGCGCCCCTTGTTTCGTAGACTGGAAAATTTTCAGGCATATCTTCAGACCTCACCATGTTATCAATGCGAACCTTCGAAAAAGAATGCAATAACAAAATTTAACTATATGGTCTGAAGATCGCAAAAACATAGCATATAATATTAATCATCTTTGATTGAAATTATAAATGGTAAAGAAAATAATGAATTTAAAGCTACTGTGTCTTATCAAAAAAAAATGAATTGATGTCAAACTTGAATTATTTTCTTTTATCAATTTTGAATTGACAAGTTTTCGAAAAAGTCAATATTTTTATGCTTTTTTAGATATAAGATTTATTAATTATGAATTCTACTTTTCGTGATAGAGAAATGGTGACATTCCCGCCCATCTCGAACTCCTCCCCACGGGTCATGTTTCTTGGCATTGGTCTAGGTCGTGGCCGACGATTCATACGTCGTGTTGGAGGTCTACGTCCAAGAACACGGAGTGTCACATCAAGATAACGTCCGATTCTTCCTGCACAATTCGCCCCATCACTGTCGCCACAAAATGTCCAGTTGGCGACAAGAATATTGAACTTTACAGCTCCCGGTTTAACCAAGGTAACTTCATCATCTAATGTTATATTGCCTTCCTCATGGAAGATGAAAACTTGAAATGTAAGCTCCGCGCCATTGGGGAGGAATCCATCAAAAACTATCCTAGTAGCCTGAATGTTGGAAAACGTTACATTTTCCGGTCTTGAAATGTTGAATTGTTGGTTTGCAAGTGTATTAAACATATGTGGCTTAGTTCCTCCCTGCTCCACAGACCGTCCGCTCCCATCGACCTCCCTGATGGAATCGAAGTCAATGGTCAGTGCATTTGAATCCGATTCCAGATTTCGATTTCTTCCGATTCGGAGTTTTCCAGACCTTCCTAACCCCTGTACATGTACTCCGTTTCCATTGATCCTGCCTTCCGATCCACCAGAGGGGTTTCTTTGGGCGAGAAGTACATGTAAACAAGCAAAAAAAGCAAAAATCCCTCCCCAAATTTTGTACATGGTGGTCTTGATATGAGGGCAGTTGTATGTGGTTGATGTAACTGATCAGTATCCTGGAAAAGGTCCCCGTTAAGGATTAACTCATGGGGGATTTATCCTTATGAGGATTAATTCTTGCATAAGAAAATGAGACAGCACCATACCCCAAAACGGATGCTCGACAAAACCACATACACATAAGTAAATGGGGGTCCGTGTTTGCATCCTATTACCTTACCTAAAGGTGTAATCATATGGTTATCTTCAGTTTATTACTTTTGAAGAATTTTTAAATGGTTTCGAAATAAACCAAAATATAAAAACAAATGGCCCACGGGCCTTAATGGTCAAATGAGTGTAATAAATTCATGAAAAGACTCCACGAAATGGTAAATAAGATGGGTATCTAAATATTGCACTGATGCTATAGAAATATAGAAATGCTGTAGAAATAAATACCAAGTTGGCTGTGTTTACAAAATTTATAAGGAACATAGGACAACAAAGATTTGATTTATTGATTGTATATTGCTTAACGTCCCTCTCGAGAATTTTTCACTCATATGGAGACGTCACCACTTGCCGGTGGAGAGGCTGCAAATTTTGTAGTATACTAGTACTTGGCACTCTACGAAAGCCCAGAAGGCTCATTCGAGATTCAAGTTTCGAAATACGAGATTCGAAATTCGAGTTTCGAGATTCAAGATCCAGATTAACCAATCAAAAGGCTCATTCGAGATTCGAGGTTCGAAATTCGAGATTCAAAATTCGAGTTTCGAGATTCAAAATCCAGATTAACCAATCAAATACGGGTTCAACATTGATTACTCCCCTTTATTATGTTTAATCTATCAATAAATCGTTTAATATATTTATAACAAATGAGTCATTTGAATAAATTACAATGCAAGTTGCAGAAAAAAAACCCACAGAATAAAAATTAGAATGCAGCGAAGAGAGTGTTATATATATTAGAAAGAAAGTTAAATAATCATTTGAATTTTGATCAGCAAGATATACTTCAATTTATATTATGACTTCTTAAATATTAAATAGAATACATAATCAGGAATATATATATTTTTGCATTGTCTACTATATATAAATAATAATAATAAAGTTATAAATAGTGACTAAAGATTAACAAAATCCTTGTAGCCTTGATAAATAAAAACCGAGTATATTTTAGTCTTTGACCATAACGCTATGGTCAGAGACTAAAATATAAAACCATAACGCTATAGTTCTGCAGCTAATTTAGATTAATCTACTGTTTGATATCAGATAAAATGAATGCTGCATTTATTCTAATTCATATTTGCAATCTGTATTGTATATATAATTGTTAATTAGTTCAAGAAATCAAAGCCTTAGATGAACATAAGTAATTGAAAACTTTTTTTTAATGTATTCCCTCTATTAGGAAAACGAGCGCGGTTTTTATTGCAATTGGTAAAACTAGGTTTTTATATTAGTATCAAGGCTACATTGCCTTTCAAAGTTTCAGTGTCGGGAAAAATTGGCAGGTGTTGCCGGTAGGGGTGGGGATTTTGTTAATCTTTAGACTCTATTTATAACTGTATTATTATGTCAGCAACCGTTTATATACAGTAGACAAAGCAAAAATATATATATTCCTGATATATGTATTCTATTTAATATTTAAGAAGTCATAATATAAATTGAAGTATATCTTGCTGATCAAAAATCAAATGATTATTTAACTTTCCTTCTAATATATATAACACTCTTTCTTGTATTGTAATTTATTCAAATGACTCATTTGTTATAAATATATTAAACGATTTATTGATAGATAAAACGTAATAAAGGGAAGTAATCAAATGTTAAACCCGTATTTGATTAGTTAATCTGGATTTTGAATCTCGAAACTCGAATTTCGAATCTCGTATTTCGAAACTCATGGAATCTCGAATGAGCCTTTTGATTGGTTAATCTGGATCATGAATCTCGATCGCTGTAATTGTAAAATTCTACTTCCACTTTACTTCCTCTAATAATATTCTATGCCACAAACTCGAATTTCGAATCTCGAATTTTGAATCTCGTATTTCGAAACTTGAATCTCGAATGAGCCTTCTGGGCTTTCGTAGCACTCAAAGCCATTGAGCATGGAGGGATCCTTTGCTGCGACCTACTGTCTAACACCTACTGCGACACGGGACCTCGGTTTATACGGTCTCATCAGAAGGAACGGTCTCCACGTCCCACAGTGGGATTCGAACCTGCGACGTAACGATCAACTCCTTACTTTGCGACTCTAGAGCAGACGCTCTAGCCACTGCGTCACGCAGGCGACACAAAGGTTTGAAAAGTGTTGAAAATTTTAGTTTGATTCGTTATCAAATTATCATTTAATAGATAAAAAGACAAGACATTTGAGGAATCACTGTCTAGTTAGCACAGTATGCCAGGGCATCAACGATAGTGGGAAATATGGGAAATAATTTCCTCCTTTTAAAATGTTTACAATGCATGATTTGATAACAGATTTCATGTCCGAGAAAAACGAGAAAATCCGTAGAAAATCCAGAGTGTAATTTATTACCTAAAAATTTAATGAAAAAATTCATAAAAGTTGTTACAATGTAGCTTGAAATTAATTTAGATCCAAGGGCAGATCACTCTACTTGCAGAAAAAAAAACCACAGAATAAAAACTCTTTAGAATGCAGCGAAGAGATGATTCTTCTACAAGTTATATAAAACCAAGATTTCATTTACTCAAGGTTCTCAAAATATATAATGTAAGGACATATCAGATATTTTAAACCCACAAAAGTATTGCTCAAAAGGTTTATCACTCCTCATGCAGTATTGGTTGATTTAGTCAGTCAAGCTTTTTGAAAAGCTGTTACTTGTACACACCTGTAAAGTGTATATCCTTTGAAAATAAAATAAAATTTTTAATTCTAGGGTTCTAAATCTAAATTGAATGAAGAAAAAACTTGCCCTTCAAAAAGTGCAATTGGTAAAACTAGGTTTTCACGTATTAGTATCAATATTTTAATTCTAGGGTTCTTAATCTTAAAGCAATATGAGCTGCATTTTTGAAAATTTTATTTTGCTTTTAAAAAGTGTTGTTATGATAAATTTGTATGTAACTTAAACCTTTATGATCAAATCGACTAAATTAGAGCAGAAAAAAGACTTCTATACACAATCCAATATACAGTTTTATATAAGAAATCATTATTGTACAGGACGACAATAATGTAATTTTGACTAAATCGAAACTTGTATTGTAAATAGTTCTTCCATCGCAAATATGAACAATAAAAGTTTACCAAGGTTATTTTTTCCGTCATTGAAATAATTATTTACAATTTTTGCAACAAAAAATTCCAACATCAAAGTTGCAGCTCATATTGCTTAAATTGAATGAAGAAAAAACTTGCCCTTCAAAAAGTGCAATTGGTAAAACTAGGTTTTTTCATATTAGTATCAATATTTTAAGTCAGCAAAGATATTTTCTTATAAGTTGGTTGATTAAGTTTTGGGATTTATAAATCACATGCAGTTTTACATACGCCCACATGCTGCTTCAATAAATTATTGTCATATCATGTCGTTATTACTAGTATTTGATTTATTATTATTACCAAAATGAAATACCCTCCTAGAAACAATTCAAAGATGTAATCCTACCTTGTCTTACATTAATGTTCACAAAATGAAGATTTGGTTACAGATTTGCCTTGGATAATTTCTAAGCAATTTTGGCCAAGGCTTCTTGCACACTTTGATAGGTTCACTGGCCCCGTTTACAAGATACTGTAAACGTATTACATTTGACGGTGTATTCTTTTTAGCGCTTTTGGAGAAAAGATACTTCCGCTAATTCAAGTACATCGCTAAATGTCTTAAACAATGATACATGAATAAGAATATAAAGAAATGCACTAAATCAAATCTACGCTAACTTGTTTAAAAATCACTTTCTACTGAATATCGTACACGCTAAATATAATACATTTACAGTACATGTACATGTACATATAATAAGTTAAAATCATGTAACGTGTTCGATTACTATGTTTATTTAATTTAGTTCCCATCAATTTAATTTATTTATATAATATCATAGCTGCATCTTTTTGTTAAAAATATGAGAACTAAGATACAAACTTATTACCATAAAATAAAAACCATCAAAGCTCATGTAAGATTTCAAAAATATTAAATTCTATTTCATTTTGAGTATACAATCGTTGCCACGACCTATATATGATGCAAAAAATGATCGCTGTAATTGTAAAATTCTACTTCCACTTTACTTCCTCTAATAATATTCTAATGCCACATCTTTTCCTTATAAACCTAGTATCCTTTTAGGGATTAAGTTGTAATGTTTCGGTTTTCATCGTTTCAGAATACAGACGGCTGTAAATTAAATCATTTTTAGTGCCTCACTACATATAGTTTATTGAAGTAGGAGAAATTTTTGTATTGAATATGAGTTCTACTACGATTATTGCCGAGATCAAAGAAATGCCGCGGACATTATTCTCAAATAAATCATGAAAGTTGTCAAAAAATTATCAGATCAGAAACACGTATCAAACTTGTGCAGCTGAAATGTACATTTGTTTCAAAATGTTGTTGAAATATAAAAGCCTCGGCTAACGCCTCGACTTTTATCTTTCAAACAACATTTTTCGACCTCGGAGGTTATTATGCAACGTTCACGAAAACGCGGACTTTATTTCTTAAACGAAAGTTTCAAAGCTCAAAGTATATATAAACAATGCAAATCGGGATCAGAGTAAACACGGACCTCCAAAACATCAGAAGTGGGATCAGGTGTCAGATAGGAATGAACATCCCCTGCCGACTGGTTACACCCGCCGCGTGCTCCATGCCCGAGAAAAACGAGAAAATCCGTAGAAAATCCAGAGTGTAATTTATTACCTAAAAATTTAATGAAAAAAGTCAGCACTTGACTTAATGATTGGTTGTATTTGCTGACAAGGTCGACCATAAAATTTGCGAAATGATGACTTGCTAAAGAGAATGTTGATTAAGCAAGTCATCAGTCCGTCTGTCTGTTACGCTATGGGGTCCCATCTCTTATCTGCA